AGTCATACGGAAACTTATAAATTTCAAAAAAGGAACCAGAAGAAAAACTGACGGCATGCCAATAGCGGGGCACAACTACACAACTCAAAGTTAAGAAAAACCAAACAAATAATGAATAAAACCACTTTTTTATAAAAATATTTGTATTATTTTAGCTTATAATTTCTATCACAACTCTACTTTTGACTTCTACGTTAGTGGCGTACTTCGATTTTATGTCGATACACGAAAAGAACTGTTATTTTCCTACCATGTAGAAGTCCATAACAAAATGTTCTCTTATATTTTGTATTTCTGGTGTAGATTCGAAAGATAGATCTGTATTTCTATGTTCTGTTTTCGCTGTGTGACAAATTTCTAATTCGCTTAATATATTTTGTATTAATTTCTGGTAATCTGGGAAATAGTATACTTCTGTAAACCATTTGGCATTCTTTTTAATTCCTGTGTGTAATAAATATGTATGTCATTTTAATATCTTTTCTTCAAACTCTGCGTATATGGGAATGTCTTCTAGTTATACGCGTTTCTCGTACATTAAAAAGATGTACTAGATTCGTCGGAAAGTATGTAACAGGCAGAAGGAAGCGTTTCCGACCCCATAAAGTATATATTGATCAGGATCACTAGCCGAGTCGATCTAGCCATGTCCGTCCAGATGAACGCTGAGATCGCGGAAACTATAAGAGCTACAATACTGGGATTAGACATTCAGATTCCTCAGATTCCTGCGCAGCGCAAGTTTGTTTCAGCAGCGTGCCACGCCAACTCTAACGCCCACAAGCCGCCAAAAACTGTGGCTCCTACAGTTTTGATGCTATAATAAAAATTTTAACTGAAATGTTTTCTTCTACAATACCTATCAATTTACCAAAAAAAAAAATTTGGCACGCCCACTTAAACGCCCACAAACTTCAAAAAATTGGTCGTTAGGCTTTCCGTCTTAACGTCAGCGTTCAGAAGCCGAATTCATTCAATTTACAAAACGTCCTTTCAACGAAAAAGTCGAAGTACCGGATAATGCTACAATTGTCACAAAGTAGGACATTATTCTTCGAAATTTCCTGAGCCCCAGCGCAATCGCACAATACACGATTCTGCCAGCTGCCCCGATAACCCAAAGACAGGTCCAAAAACTAATAAAATTGACTCTGATTCTGATTCGGAAATCTCCAAATCGATCTCGGTAAACGGCAATGAAACCATCGCACTCATAGATCCAGGCAGTACGCGAACGCTAATTCGTAAGTCATTCGCCGGAAATGTAGGAGTTCTACAACGATGTACTGTCACTCTGAACGGATTTAGTGGTGGGAAATTCCTTTTCACACACAAACTTTTCGTGAAAATTGTGATTGACGATTCTGATTACGAAGTTGACGTTTTGGTCGTAGAAGATAAACTAATGACCGAAAATATTCGAAAAATTCAGACGAGCTAAGAGCGTTCCTCAGTTGAAAGTGAACTCATAAACGGATTGATATTGGAAAACGCTTCTTGCTTTGCGGAAAAAGCTAGTGAGCTCGGTAGATGTTCCAAAATGGAAATAACCTTAACATCAAACGTTCCCTGCTTCTCTAAGCCCACCGTACGCCTTTTGCACTCAGACCTGTCGCCGGTAATATTATCTCCGAGTTGCTCGAAAGTGATATCATTCGTCTTTCGGACTCTCGTCATGCATCTGGAACTGTCGTCGTTGAAATACAGAATGGTGAACATTGTCTTTGCGTCGACTACCGACGTCTCAACAGTATAACCGTCAAAATACCATTTCCAATGAAAAATCTGGAGGAGCATTTGCCCAATTAGCTGGAAATGCCTATTTTTCTCAGCTGGACTTGCGTATGGGATATCATCAGGTCAAGGTTTGCGAATCATCCAAACAATTCACAGCATTTGTAACTTCAGACGGCCACTACGAATATAAAAGGATGCCGTTCGGCCTCGTCAATGCCCCAACAGTATTTCAAGCGGTAATAAACAAAATCATCAAATGCATGGAGCCAGGTGAGGTACTCGCATATCTAGATGACGTCATAGTTCCCAGCAAAACATTTGATGAGGGTATCCAACGACCTGAAAAATTCTTCCGAATTCTTAAAGAGAGCGGTTTAACATTCGCTACGACAAATTCAAGTTTCTTCAATCAGAAATAACTTTCTTGGGCCTTATTGTCAAGAAAGATGGTATTACTCCGGACGAGAACAAGGTGAGCGCTATCGAATACTTCAAGGTCCCTACTAACGGAAGGGATTTTTGGGTCTATGGGGATTCTTTCGAAAGTTTGTTGAAAGCTACTCCTTAATAACAAGATTCCATACACGATTGTTGCGTAAATCAAAGCAAAACTGCTTTGATTGGGGAAATGACCAGCAACGGGCATTTAACGAGCTAATCTACAAACTATGCTGTGTTCCTGCTCTAGTTCTGTACGACTTTGCAGCACATCATGAGGTACACACAGATGCTTGTGCGATCGGACTAGGAGGAGTCTTATTGCAATCTGTCTTACTTTAGTAGGCACTGTACTGACGCTGAATGTAAATACAATAGCTACGAACTCGAAACGTTGGCCATCGGAGAAACGCTAAAAAGTTTCAGGGTGTATATTCTAGGAAAACCCTGTGAATGCCATGAGCCGCGCTCCCGACTCACCTCCTGGAAAATCCTTACCCTTCTTTCAACTCCACAGGCTACCTTGTAGTCGTTGAAAACGGACCAGGTGCTACAGACGAGTCGCAAAAGCTCGATCCACGTTATCGAGGACCCTATATCGTCGTCAAGGTCCTTGGAAATGATCGTTGTGTAATCGAAGACATCCCAGGTATTCAGATTACAGGACGTAAATACTGTTTTGTCTATTCCTGCGACAAAATCAAGCCGTGGTGCTCCAACATCCCTTAGTTGGATGTTCCCGACGATGACGAGGACCGAATCGAGGACGATCCGAATGCAGGATTGGCCGAGCTATCACGATTCAGTTCTGATGGAGAAGTATTGAACAACAACGGTGTGGCAACTCCGAAGCCAGTTGGCAAATAATTGTGGAACGAAAACGACACGAGCAACGTCACCTCCGCGAGAACGACACATCGCAGCGTACAAATTTCATAACCCAGACATATCTTTTCATTTTTTGTAATCCAGTTGTTTATAATTAAAAATACAATTAATAATACGAGTTAGTGTCATAACTCACCGTTAGCCGCACTATCTATTCGTTTTATTCCTGACAAACCAACAGCGACTAACACATTCCCCTACACAACACCGAGGTATTGAACTATCTCAAGTGTTTGATCCTATGGGTTTCTTAAGCCCTTTTATAATTTATGGAAAAATCGTTGTATATGCGCTGTGATCGCTTAAGCTTGATTGGGACGAAGAGCTGCAACCGAGCTATGCCAGTCAATAGCAAAAATATCGAGAGGATCTAAAGTTAATCGACCTGTGCGCGATGTCTCGTTCTGTAGTCCCACTCCAGGCTGATCTGAGCACTATCTATGCCTCAAGCCGCGCCTATGGCAGAGTCATCTATGCTTGCGTTCAAGACCATGAAGGTTCAGCATAGGTACATTAGGTAACCTCAAGATACAAGGTGGCGCTAGTAAAAGTGACATCTCTGCCCCAACTAGAACTGCAAGAGACATTGCTTATGACATCGTTATTGGCCAAGGTTCGATCAAGTATTCACATAAAGGTTGCGAGGATTAAATATTTCACTGGCTAGCGTCGCATGCAAGCCGCTGGACAACAATTGCCGCAAATAGAGTAGCACTTACACAGAAGCTTTAAGAGATTCAGGGTTGGTGATGATAGAGTCTAAAATAAATCCAGCTTATATTGTTCAATCATCAGCCGCCTGATCAAGCAGCCTGAGTATAGGCAGGGTGCATTCTCGTTAACAGCAGGTTTCGATAAGGACTTAGTTAGTGAATGTTAATTTGTTAAAGACTTTTTGAAGCTTCAGCGAGCTGTTGTATATAAATATCGAATGCGGGGAACAAGTAATCAAGAAAGAACCGGTTTATCTAATTTAACTGTACGCGAAACGGCTGGAGGCCTTCGTTACATAATTTATGTCATACAAAAAGATAAGTTAAAAGAGGAACTTAGTAGGTTTTTAAGTTGTAATAGGTTAAAATCAGTGAAGATACAAGGCTTAAATCCTTTCATCGGTATAGAAGAAGGGTTACAAGTTATTCGTGTAGGCGGGCGATTATTAAATTCTGATTTACCTTGGGAAACAATACATCCAACTTTGATACACTGGTAGAAAAAACATCGTAAATGTCACTATTTCGCCAACGTTTCAACTATTTTTCCCAGCGGTTTAGAACCTAACATGAAAATCGTAAAAACGAAAACGTTAAATAGTTAATTATTTTTTGAATAATCTCGTAGTAAGTTCAACGATTTTTTAATTTCGATCAAATATGTTAAAATAGTACATAATAATTAAATTAATTATGTTCCATAGTAAAAAGTATTATATTTTTATATTTATTTTAAATATTTTCATATTTAGTTCCAGTAAATAGAACATTTCATTTAAATGGTTTTTATAGTTAAAATAATTATAGCCCGCCTTAAAACTCAGCATATTTTTATTTGGATTAAGTAATTCTCTTATTTAAATCAGACTGGGATGAACTTTAATATAAATACAAATTGTATTTAAATTAAATATAATCCCCGTTAAAAGAACTGTACTTTATGTTTGATTTAAATGTATTATTTAAACCATACTATTATGGTGCATATTCAATTTAAACCAATCTGTAGTTTAAAACAAGCGTGATTTATATTTAATAAAGACCCAAATTAGTATGTGTTTTTATTGAAAATAAACGTAAACATATAATCAAACAATTGTTCTGCTTAAACTCTATTTTTTACCATGCTAACACGTTATCATTACTTTTGTTTTAAATACATTTGTACCTAACGTATTTCTTAGAATTTATATGATACATATATACATATACATATTATACATTATTATACATATTTTTTATAATCACACATTTTTTTGTTTTGCCACATTCGTACGCCTGCATGTGCGTACAAAACTTTCCTGCGAGTCATAGTAGTGATAATTTCTTTCGCTTGTTGGTTCCTTTAATGACGGTCCACGAATTATTTAAGATGACAGATGTGAGCAATACAATGTAAATGTAGTCCTTGTAATCTGTGAATAAGAATATGTTATAAGATTTTTGGTAATGGCATAATTTAGAAAAAGTCAAGCTTATCATAAAAAGGTAAAATTTATAAATTTAAAAAAATTATACATTACCAAGTGATACAGTTTTCTGAACTGTCTTTAATAGTTTAAGTTGCTTTTTGTTTTGCATTTGCTCTTCGTAAAAGCAAAAAACCTTTTCCTTAAATGGGTCCCATATATCAAATTGCTTCTTTCTCAGGGTACAATATGTTGAAATAAATTTGTATCTATAAAGAAAAAGTTAATAAGTTTTATAATAAGTTTCGAGTAGGTGTTTTTATATAAAGGGATTTAAATAAGACAAAAATATTGTTTAAATTTATTTCGTTTTTATTTTTTTTTAAATATCAAAATTAGTTAGATTTAAAGAAAAATCACGTGAAAGAACCAAAAAATATTATAAAGAAATAGATGAAACGACTGCGACGCCACAGAACCGAATGCAACGGCAGCGTAGCGTCTTTTTTGCGCCTTTTTAGTGTTTTCCATCTCGTGCATTTTACTCCTTTTAATTTCCTTTCATATTCTTCATTTCTTTCGCGTATTTTTTATCCACTTCATGTTTATTACCCATTCGCATATATTTTATTGTTTTTAAATGTAATTTTCTTTTCAGCTTTGTTTATTTCGTTAAATGTATTATCTAAATTTTCACGAAATAATAACGCGCACAACAAAGAAGAAACTCAAAAAGGAAAAATGCGACAAAAAAAAACGTGGACATGCACATGCCTTAATACTAAGTAATTATTGTATTTTTATTTGACTCACCTTTTTTCTATACTTTTCACTTTTTTATTACACTTAAATGAACACTTGTCTACCGAGCTCTATTAATCACTTTTACATCCGATCAGGAGAGCCGCTTGCTTCGAAATGATCGCGGGATTCGCTACAAAGCGGAGTGTCAAAATATTTCGTATATACATACATACATATGCATGTGTGCAAAAAGGACGCACAAAATCTGTAGCGTGCCGTTACTTTACAATAGAGGTCAAAGTAATGGGGAAGAAAATAAGAAAATATGTACAAATAAGTCCTTAAGTTTAATAACTTCTATATGTCAATTTAGTATTATTTATTTTATTTTATTATATTTATATATTATAAGAACATATCTTATTGTTAAAACATCGGTACACAAGAAATATTTATGGCTTCTGCACATACATATTTTCTTGGCCACCAATGTACAAATGCGAATGGAAGAAGAAGACGCGCTTGCGTTTGCCGTTTTGCTTGTTCATATTTGTCTCTAATTTGTCTGAATGTATGTAAGTATGCACATTGTGCCGTTGGTTTTAGTTTTTCGTTACGGCCCAGCGTTTACAATGCAAGCACATTTTTTCTTTGGCTAAGCATGTTTTTGTACTTTTAATAGTAAATTACAAAGCCAAATCTTATGATAATTGTCATGGAAATAGAAAGAGGCTGCCGGTGGTTGGGCAGCCGTAACTAAAACCCTTTTCTTTAAATATTATTTTATTATTTATTTTTATATTATATTATATATTATTTATAATTTTATTTTTATATATTTTTCTTTTGAAAATTACTAATAATTTAAATTATGTTGTGTATATGGGTCACAAACTTAATACATATACATACCTATGTAATTTGATTTATAATTTACAATTATTTGGTCAAATACAAATTTTGAAAACGTTCTATATTCAAAATAAAAGAGTAAATATTCCGAACAAATTGAAAAAGTATTTACTTGAAATATAAAAAACCATCAAATATACTATGAATTCAACTACTTTTTGTAATAGTTAAAACCAAGATGGCCACATTGGATTTGAATGTGACTAACTTGTTTTTAAATATAAATCACTTTGAATTGAATACTTACATATTTGACATACGGCTTAAATATGTTTTTTATTTAAATGAATGGTTTTAATATTTAATATGACTATGCATGGGAGTAAAAAAAATCAAATAAAAATATATTTGATTTCACTTCGTGTTTTTTCTACCAGTGTACCACATGATCTCATGGCAGTTGAAACCCTAGTTGAATACACACATCTGATTTGCGGCAGAAGTATTGGATTTTCAAGTGCAGGAAGGTAGCTCGCAAGGCTGTTAGAAGAACATCTATGGGTGCGCTTCCAAAAAGCGGAGTGCGAGACAGTATTCATCCGACTGAGCGCGGTCAGCCGTGCGGGCTTAGGGAAGCGTCACCGTTCTCAGACTAGGGTGAACAGGTGCTGCGCTCTCAAGGATCACTCCTTTCGATACACCACTGCCTGTCCCTTGCTCTGACGCGGATGGTCCCAATGGGGTTTCCGCTCAGCCCGCGCGGACAGTCAAGGCTAAACACCAGGAAGCTGCCTCGCGCTTTACTTTACTTCTACCCTAGTGTAAGCGAACGTTCCACCCTAGCCTCACCCTTCTGCTTATTTTCAGGGACGTTTCCGCGTGGCTCGATCTGTCTTGCGTGTCTGTCGTGATGTGGTGGCTGGCTTGCTGCTGAAAATGTCTTGCGCTCTGCTCCTGGCTGCGCCACTGGACGTAGCGTGGCTTCTCGTACTCGGGGTTTCGGGCGTACGCCGATCCGGGACTTCACGAGTCGAGACCCTAGGGCTCTCCTGGACAACTCCACTCGAGACCGTACCGATCGACCGCTTTCCCTTCTGGCTTGTTATACTCGGGATTCACCAGGCGTAACGCCTGGACATAGTTCATAAGAATGAACAGCCCGTCTTGACCTAGCTGTGTGATGCCCTCTGGACCTCAGCTACCTGCGTCTCAATTTGGAGATTCCTGGTATCCCAATCCCGAATGTCTCGACTTAGCGATCTTGCTCCCTGTAGGCTCCCATGGCGCTGCTTTTTCGACGACTCGACTTGTTGTAGCTCCCTTGTAGTATATTTGGTTGACTGACTGTTCACTTTGGTACCTTGACTGATCTTGACGGTTTGACTCCTCGTGATCGACTGATGCTGCTTCCAGCGCTGGGCCCACTTATATAGGGCTCCTGGTACCATTAATTCTTGGCATCTGCGCACGGCACCACTTCAGGGTTCAAAGACAGCGGTTTTACCGTTCGACCTTTCGCCCTCTGCACACGGCCCCACACTAGGGTGCTAAGCGCGGCGATCTACCGGTAACCCTTCGCTCTTTCTCTCCAAGCTCTCTTTCCTCGTACTCTCCAAACTCTCTTGAGGCGAATTCTCCAAGTTCTCTCGAACTAAATTCTCCAAAACTCTCCCGAACTGAATTCTCCAAATTCTCTTGAACTGAATTCTCCAAACTCTCTGGAACTGAATTCTCAAAACTCTCTTAAACTGAATTCTCCAAATTCTCTGGTAAGGGCCGGCCATCTGTCGCTGCTGAGATGTGTGAGGAGTTGTTCAACTCCTCACAAACTCTAATTTTAAGGTTTTTTTTACATAATAATAGGTTAGGTTAGGTTAGATAGGAGTGGGTGGAGATTAGATAATAATCCCCACACTTAGGCCACATTGGGCCCTTGTGATACCACATGATCTCTGATTAGATCCTTTTCCCTAGCTCATGGGTTATTTGCTTTCGCGAAGTATTTTGTTCTTCTTAGGAAACATAAGATGTTTCGGATGCTTACGCCCTGAATGGCCGCAAGGTTCGGAAGTGTGTAGCTACCTAGGGCTTGAAAGCGCTTTAGGTTATGCGCTGGGCAGAAGCATAGGAGGTGTTCGGTGCTCTCCTCTTCGTCTATCTGTTTGCAGCTCTGGCAGAAGTCGTGGTTACTGAGTCCCAGTCTGAGCGCATGAGTCCCTATATGACAGTGGCCCGTGAGGGCATTTAGGAGAGTGATGATGTCCGCCCTGCTACGTTGTAGGAGAGTTTTTGTTCTTTTCGTTGTTGTTGTAGTTTGGCCATGTGAGTCTAGAATTGTGGCAAGTTGAGATTGAGTTCCAACGGTTGTTGGAAAGTGTGTACAGTCTCTGCCTGAGATGGAGCTTGCAGGTAGCCATGGGCATACCCACCGTGTCCTTATCGCGAAGGATGTCGGCGGTTGTCCCTTGTCTTGCTAGCTCGTCTGCTATGCAGTTGCCTTCAATATTGCGATGTCCAGGCACCCAGATGAAGTTGATTCTCAGATGAGTGGCCATCTCATTAAGAGATTTGCGGCATTCAGAGATTGTTTTTGAGTTCGTTGTATAGGAGTCGAGGGCCCTGAGGGCTGCTTGACTATCCGAGAAGATGAAAATATCTATGTCATGATGTACTGACGTGTCCAGGTGGTCATGTCTTCCTGAATTGCCATGACTTCCGCTTGGAAAACACTACAGTGGTCTGGTAGGCGGAATGAGACTTTTATGTCTAGTTCCGGAGAGGAGACACCCCCGCCTGTTTGGAAGTTGAGCTTGGAGCCGTCTGTGTATATGTTGACAGCGGTTTCGAATTGGAGTGGGAGGTTGTCCCGGTCTGTACGGGTGGGTATGAAGGTCTTGTATCTTCTTTCGAAGTTGACTATGGGTAGAAAGAAGTCTGTACTGCGTTGTAAGGATGTATGTTTTGATATGATATTTGAGTGACCCGTAGAGCCTGTGGTTCATGCGGCTGCTCCACGGAGTCTCAGCGGATGCTTGCAGATGCCCAGCTTTTGGCAAATAGGTCCAGGGATTGGAGGTCGAGAATTGTGTTTAGTGCTTCAGTGGCGGTGGTGCGAAGCGCCCCACTGATGCAGATCTCAGCGCTTCTTTGGATCTTGTGAAGGATCCGGAGGTTGCAATTCTTTTCTAGGGAAGGCCACCAAACATTGTATTCCGTAGAGGAGAATGGGCCTGACTATTGCAGTGTATAGCCAGTGAACTATCTTGGGGGAGAAGCCCTACTTCATCCCTATGGCTTTTTTACAAGCGAAGGGGGCTATTGCCGCTTTGCGTGTGCGATCTAGGATGTTGTCTGTCCAGAGTAGCTTTTTGTCAAAAATGATACCTAGGTTCTTTGCTTGGTTGCTAAGGGTTAAACGCGTTTGGTGTAGTTTTGGGAGAACTAGATTTAGTACCTTATACTTCCTTGTAAAGAGAACTAGTTCGGTCTTTTCTGGGTTAACTCCCAGTCCACAGACAACCGTCCACATGGAGAGGGTGGATAAGGCTGTCTCCATTAGATTGCAAAGAGTTTGCGGGAATTTGCCTTGCAGCTGGATAACCACGTCGTCCACGTAGGCTACCACTTTAGTGCCCGCCTCTTGTAGAATTGATAGCAGTTTGTTGACCCCTAAAACCTATAGAAGAGGTGGGAGTACGCCCCCTTGTGGGGTTCCTCTGCTGACATTCCTGGTCGAGTGGGCTGATCCCATAGTGGAGTACACTACTCTGCTGGCTAGCATGGTGTGTATGAGTCCCACTATGGGCCGCTCAATGCCCAGTTCAGTCAGAGCACCGGTAATCGACGTTGGGGTGACGTTATTAAGGGCGCCTTCTATGTCGAGAAACGCTGCCAGAGAGTATTCCTTATTGCGGAAATCTCTCTCTATACTGGATACTAGAGAGTGAAGGGCGGTATCTGTTGATCTACCCTTACGGTACGCGTGCTGTGCGTCGGAGAGTAGGCTTTGGTCGATGATTAGCCTGATATGGGTGTCAATAAGCCTTTTCAGGGTCTTCAACAAGAAGGAAAAGAGACTAATCGGACGGAAGTCCTTTGGGTTGGTGTGGGAGCGTTTGTCGGCTTTCGGTATAAAAATTACCTTAACGTCCAGTCATCTTGTAGGAATATGGTTTAGAGCAAGGCAGCCGTGGAAGATGGCTGTCAGCCAGGGTAGGGAAATATCTAGTGTCCGTTGTAGCTGTGCCGGGAAGAACCCATCTGGGCTTACAAGAGTTAACAGCACTGAATGCGGCCAGGGCTCGATAGGTTGT